GACAATTTTCTCGGATTTACTCAAAAATCGATAACTTCTCTTGCATTTTCTATAACACCGGATGAATTCCTTTCATTTTCCATTAAACCGGACAATTTTCTTCAATTGTTTTTGCAAAATGGAAAATTTTCTCATATTTTCCAGAAAATTACAGAATTTCAGGAAATTTCCTCTAAGCCAAACAATTTTCTTCCATATTTCATCCAAAAAATGCACAATTTTTCTCCAATTTTTAAACTTCAGATCGATAAATATTCTTCATTCTTCATACGAGGTTATTATTCTATGCTGAATATTCACATGAGACTCCATAAATGCTCTTTATTCAAAATTCGACACGTAGCCATCCCAAATACGTAGTTTAATTCAGTAGCGAAGTGCTAAAACCGTTCAAGTCGACTCATCTCCCAGTCGAGTTTTTGATGAATATCTCCGAATCTAAGAGAGATAGCGAAATGTTCGTACTTACATTTGTTGTAGCTCTCAATCGACTCTACAAAAAAGGTCATAACAACAAATTTGCTATCTCCCTTAGATTCCGAGATATTCATTGAAAACCGGCCAATATTCAAAATTGACTTGACCGCTTTCACCACTTCGCTACTGAATTATTCTTCTATTTTTCTCCACTTCATTTTATTCACTAAATGAATGAGTAAATCAAAACTGATTTTCAATAGTTTCATTATTTAGGCAAAAAGTTCCCGAAATTTCAGTGCAACTGGAAATTAATTTGATTAGTAAACGAGCATGGAGATTTTTCTATTCTTCGATCATCTCAACCTTTTAATTTACTCAGAAAGTAAATGATAATAATGGTCGATGTGTCATCATCCCAAATTGATTATGATTCCTCTGGACGAGTGCCTGTGCGTTTCGAGTCAGTTAAATTATTCTTAGTTGTCGCAGGTTCAACGTTTACCCCCGGAAAACAGTCCCTTAGCTCACAGAGGTGTCTGAACCACGTTTTATCTTTGGTGAATGATGATGCAAGAGAGCTGCAACAGTGTAGCAACGTCACACATTCTAGAGGCGTTGAGATGCTTCCGAGACGTTCACATAGACAAATACAATCATTTCAGTAGCAAGAGAATGTGATTACATTGCATTGAATCAACTTCTACGCCAGAAAAAATCATTTTAACTCAACTCTATACTTGAGTTATTTTTGTCTAGAGTAGAATAATAGAGAAAGTGGCAATACAAATTATTTCTCAGTTTAAGGCCCGGGTGTACTATTTTTCGAATGTTATCTGGATTTTTTTTATCTTTCGTAATCCAAAATTGTCAATTGAGTGGTACATCATGTAGAAATTCCCAAAAATTATGATAGAATGATGAAAAAAAATAGAAAAAATTCTGAACTTTTTCAAAGGGCGCTTTTAATTGAGATTCAAAATGAGTTGAAAAAAGTGGAAATTACAAATATCTGATTCGCTGTCGCAAATTATCTATTAGCTGTCATTTTCCATCGTGGATAACAAAACACTAACTCCTCATGGCAAGTGACAGCTAGGTATCTCAATTTTCAAAACAGTGGTATGTAGTCATCTGCCATTTTTATGTGATAAAAGTGTGATTAAAAAATTCTCCAAAATATTACAACTTTTTTCAAAGAGCCTTTTCCGTAATAAATGTCTGTGTGCAGTGTGGGAAAAGATTTACGAAATCAGTCTGCCCCCTGCATGATATTGGGTGACAGGCCGCCATTTGTCACCGTAAATCAGATACATTTTTCAATTTCTTGTTATTCAACTTATTCTGAATATAAAGTCAGTAGCGAAGCGGTAAAACGGTTCAAATCGATTTAGCTTTCAGCTGAGTTTTCGAGAAATATCTCCGAATCTAAGGGAGATAACGAAATTTTTGTAATAACCTTTTGTATAGAGTGAGTTGAGGGCTACAAAAAAGGTCGGGACAAAAATTTTGCCATCTGTCTTAGATTCCGAGATATTCATGGAAAACCGACCAATAGTGAAAATCGGCTTGAATCGTTTTCAATGAATATCTTCGAATCTAACGGAGATAACGAAATTTTTGTAATAACCTTTTCTGTAGCCCTCAAATTGTTCTACAAAAAAGGTCATTACGAAAATTTCGTTATCTCCCTTAGGTTCGGAGATATTCCTCGAAAAGGGAGATTAGGGCTAAATTGACTTGAATTGTTTTACCGCTTTGCTACTGAAACATGGATAGGGATGTGAGACATGGAATTCCTACGGCTTATATGGATATTCAAGAAAACTGTGAATTAATTATGAAGCTGAAACAAGCAGAATATTCTTCAGTGGAAAATTCAATTTAGAGGATATTTAAGTGTGGGAGAGTCAAATAATCATGTGTACAAGTGTTTTTTAAGCGCGAAAAAGTTTGTACATTACTTGAAAACATTTGTACCCCCCTACACTGAGAGAAAAACGACAAAGTTCTCAAACAAGTCTTACTTGTGCCAAGAAAATATTTTTTTGAAAATTATCAAAAAAGGATTTTTTTGGGCCAAACATGCAGGAGTGCGCCGAAATGAAACATTTTTGTCGCAAAAATAGATTTGGTAGTTGAAAAAAAACTGCATTCTCTGTAGACGCAAGAAATGTCACTTCTAGCACTACTCCTTCGTTATTCGATACTCCCATACGTATTTTGCTCCCGAAAAATCTTTGTTTTATGCGAAACAAGGGATAGTAGTTGTTCGTTTCGACTGTCTAATAATCACAGACAACAAATGAANGTCAGTAGCGAAGCGGTAAAACGGTTCAAATCGATTTAGCTTTCAGCTGAGTTTTCGAGAAATATCTCCGAATCTAAGGGAGATAACGAAATTTTTGTAATAACCTTTTGTATAGAGTGAGTNGTCATCCTGAAAGGCACCGTCTGGTGTGAATTATCCGCCTCCTGAGCCAAATATTTCGTTGCTGTCGAAAGCAGAACAATTATTCATGTTTGAGACTTTCAAATTCGAACCAAACAAATTCTTTTTTGGCAATTTTCAACTAGCGATTTTGTTGGCCCAAACAAGACTTGGTTGACAACGTGTTTGTTTTTCTCCCAGTATAGATTAGCCTAAGACAAATCTTCTGCTGTCGAATCTTTCGCTAGTTTCAACTTGATAATTAATTTTGAGCTCAATCGACTAGAAATTTAGGCACCTGAACGATTTTTAAGGCTTTGGCCCTTATTGGTANGTATAGAGTGAGTTGAGGGCTACAAAAAAGGTCGGGACAAAAATTTTGCCATCTGTCTTAGATTCCGAGATATTCATGGGGATTCTCGCTTGAGACACCGTAGCGTTCAGACGTATTTGTCAAGTGCTCTGTGCGGTATATAGTCAAATGGAGGTATTCCTCATTTTACATATCCGAGTGCGAATTAAATAAATACCATCAATTATANTTTCGGCTGTCTAATAATCACAGACAACAAATGAACCCTTAAATGAAACAATAATAATGATATGATAGCAATCTTGTAACTTGGGGATAAAATATTTGTTGATAAATTTTCCTCTGTATGAGATATTGTCATCCTGAAAGGCACCGTCTGGTGTGAATTATCCGCCTCCTGAGCCAAATATTTCGTTGCTGTCGAAAGCAGAACAATTATTCATGTTTGAGACTTTCAAATTCGAACCAAACAAATTCTTTTTTGGCAATTTTCAACTAGCGATTTTGTTGGCCCAAACAAGACTTGGTTGACAACGTGTTTGTTTTTCTCCCAGTATAGATTAGCCTAAGACAAATCTTCTGCTGTCGAATCTTTCGCTAGTTTCAACTTGATAATTAATTTTGAGCTCAATCGACTAGAAATTTAGGCACCTGAACGATTTTTAAGGCTTTGGCCCTTATTGGTACTTGAAAACACCTTGAAATTTCCCGGAGTTTGTTTGTCCTTCACTTCTCTGAGATTTCAGATTCTGAATTATTCAGATTCATGGTTACGAAATCCAGGAGATTTCCAATTTCACGACGGTCTCCCTTTCATTTATAATTATTTTATCTTGATAAAGATGAAATTACGTCCTTATGAGGAGTTGAACGACACTTTTTGTTAGCAATTTTTAACCGCCCCAGGACAGGGAATTCTCTGTAAAAAATCGTCGAAGTTTCAAGAATACTTACTAAATAGTGTAATAGTAATTTTTGTACTCACTCAGTACTTTTCTTTCCCAATGAAATAACAATTCACTACCGAAGCGATAAAACTATAAGTGGACTCAGCTTTTAGTTGAGTTTTCGAGGAATATCTCCGAATCTAAGGGAGATAGCGAAATTTTAGTCATGACCTTTTCGGTAGATGTTAATCAGCTTTACAAAAAAGGTTATGACGAAATTTTTACCATCTGCCTTAGATCCGGAGATATTCATTAAAAACTGACCAATAGACAAAATCGATTGAGTTGATTTTGACTAATGACCGGTTTTGAATGAATATCTCGGAATCTAAGAGAGACAGCAAAATTTTTCTCATGACCTTTTCTGAAGCCCTCAATTCGCACTATAAAAAATGTCATTACGAAAATTTCGTTATGTCTCTTAGATTTGAAGATACTGGACTATCAACATTACTATCATTATTGACGGCTGTATGAACCTGTAGGTTTCGCGCTTACGAATTGGCCCTTATGACCTTAAAGGTCCCTGGGGGCCGCAGGAGCACAAAGAAAGATCACCTCCGTTACCCCTCCTTGTAACATGAAATAGACTTAATCAAATAATCAAGTAAGGGAGTTTGACAAAAAAAAAAAAAAAAGACCATTTTACTGCTTCGCTACTGAATTTTTCCATTCCATAACAAGGAAAATCGATGGCAAAAAGCTGACGGTCGACCTCAATTCAATTTCTAATTCAGAACCATCATCCTCAATACAGTAAAAAATTGAATAATTGCCGACAGTGAAATCAATGAAGAAATTAATGAGATGACGATAATTATGTTGATCGATGAGTCTTGGATGATTGAAATGTGAGATAAACGTGGGGATAATGATTTCCACATGAATTTACCTGCATTCCACATAATCTGACACCCAGTGATGCCGAGGTGCTGGCTGCACACTTAGCAATCTGCTTACTGCGTTTTTCCGCTGATGCGTCATCTCCGTGCTGCCTCGTGCCCATCTTCAGGTCCAGTATGCACGGGTGAGTGTACCGTGATGTAATATTCTCCAGTAATAAAAAATCTGATTGAATTACAAGTCAAGGAAGTCCATCATTACTGTCAGTTATTAATGTTTAGTCATTGTTCTAGTCAGTCTGAGCAGGACTTCACGTTCAATTATCTAGAAAAACGACTGTTTGATGCAATTCAAGCAAAAAATAGTATATTTCGTAACGAGTGCAAAAAACATTTTTTCACGAGTTACGAACAATATTTGTCATCACAATGTGGCGGAAATTGAACTTGGACTTTTAGGCACGCGGAGCGTGCCAAAAAGTTCACTTTTCGTCACAGCGTGATGAAAAAATTTTATCATCAACTATTTTTTTCATTATTGGAAGAACTGATGAGAATAACAATTTTCCATTCAGTAGAATGGAAAATTATTGAGAAGTTTTGACGGGAGAAGATTTTCTCAATGGATTAATTGAAAAGAAAATAAAGCAGCAAAATCCGAAGTTCAGAGGAAGGCCCAGGGGGAGAACCAGCGGGGGAAAAAGGAAAATGTGATGCGAATTTCAATGGAATGGAAAAAGAAAAGTGTAATCGCCCTAATCTAATCAATTGAATTATAGATGAAATATTTCATATTACTTGAAAAGAGAACTGTGGATGAAATTAGGAAAAATTATTAATATTGTCGTCTCGATATAAGAAATATATGAAAAATCTTCGGGAGTTTCGAATGAGGAGAGAACATAAACTCAGCGATGTGTAAATCCAGCGAAAAAAAATCCAGATAACATTCGAAAGGTCGTACACCCGGGCCTTAAATTAAAAATTTGACTTTTTGCTAGGAAAATTTTACCAAAAGTCCTCACCAAGAAATTCGCATAATTAATACACCTGTCACATATAAATTCAAGAAAAAAAATATTGAAAAAATCTTCGATAAAAAGGATACATTGTTTATTCGATGCACTTGGCTCCAGATGATTTCCCGGCTTGAGTACGTCAGTCGTACTATTTTTTCTATGAATTTTCATCCTGAAAATACCCCAATAATCCATTAATCACCGATCCCCCAAGGAAATCTCCATAAAAATAATTATTTACAATTAAAATTACAAATGAATTTTACACGTATCATATTATACGCTCATCTTCTCGTTAGAAACTTTCAAACAATTTCGTAATTTCATAATTTATTATTTATCAATTAATGTAAAACAAAAAAGTCTGAACTTCTTCAATGAATTCAAAAAATGAATTTTCACATGATAAGTCAATTTGATTCGATTGATTCATCATCAACAGAGTTGCTCACCAATGAATCAAGAGAAAAAAACAAATCGATAACAAAAAAATACTGAAAGTTGATGAGAAAAATTTTGAAAATTCAGTAGATGATAGATGATTTAATGATGAACCAATGAACTTTGAAAAACTAATTTGAAAAAAAATATGAAATGAACTAAAAAAAAAATGAAGGAAAAACGCGACATTTTGTTGATTATCTTTGTCAGATTTATAAAATAATTTTTTTCATTTGTACCCAAGGGATATAAAGCGGCCGTTTTAATTGCCGGTAATCGCCATTGTCTGAACATCATCACTCTGGCCACCACGAGAGCCACCGGTCGTGTGCGTGATAGCAGTCGTGCCGGTCGGTGGATAAAACCTGTGCCCCTACTGCAAGTTGACGTTATTTTCCTATTTTTTTTACAGGTTTTTTGTGCATTTTTTTTTTTGCATTTTTAAATAAGAAAAAAGTTATAACCCGTAACACTGGGCTTGTAGCACGATTATTCATTGATAAATGCATAATAAGTTGATTGGTGATTAAATTAAATTAAATTGAAACAGAAACAAATGGATTAGACGTGGGGACTCGTGGAAATTTAGATTTTACCTGAGAACATCGTCGCGTTTACGCTTTGCTGAGGATTTCGCTGGCGTCTGAGGCTGGTGGGTTGGTGTGTCAGGGTCACGGAAACTTGGACTGTAACGTTTATCTACCTCGCCACCACTACTTGACGCTGAGATAACACCTGCAATTATTTTTTAAAATTATTGTTTCAATGAGGTAAAGTGGAAGTTCATTGAGGTGACGCAGGATAAAAAGTTTCTGGAATTTAGAATAGACTACTCGCTCCGCTCGCCAACCCCCATATGACTCTCATGACCCTTATTTTGACCCCCATAACGCTTATTTGGACCCTTATTCTGACCCTTGTGACCCTTAGTGTCTGACCCTCATGACCCTTATTTTACCCCCATGACTCTTACATAAACCCTTATTCTCCCCCTTGCGACCCTTAATCTGATCTTTGCGACCCATAATCTAACTCTCGTGACCCTTAATTTTGGGGTACCAAATTTTCGTCACCAAAAGTCGATTTAGATTTTTCTAACATAGAAAGAGCTCCATATGACCCTTATTTTAATCCACATGACCCTTACATAGACCCTTATGCTGACTCTTTTGACCTTTAATCTGATCCTTGTGACCTTTAATCTAACCCTTGTGACCTTTGGTGTCTGACCCTTAATTTTCGAGTACCAAATTTTCATCACCAAAAGTTGATTTGGATTTTTCTAATATAGAAAGGAATTAGTATATTCTATTACTAGTACGTAAAGTGTTAATAGTGCGCTCCGCGTGCGCAAAAACATTCGAAAATTCTCATAATTTCTATGTGAATTAAATTTTAATCAACGTCGATGGATAAGGCTCAACAATACTTGCATCAATGATTTTCAAATAACATGAATTCAAATTAAGAGTGCCAAGTGAATTTGGCGATGACCTTGAAAATTGACATTCACCAATAAAGTTATAATTTTTAAAATTAATAGTATTAGACAGATGGTGAACATCGGTGACAATTTTAAAATTTTATAACTTATGGATATCGAGAAATTAAATAAACAAAATCAGTCTTATACACGGCCTCTTATGGAGTTTTGATTAAATTGAACGTTTCAACCCCCTAGGAACTCAAGAAAAATTTGAAAAAATTTGAAGATATGGGGAATGATGTGTTCAATGTGATGGCGACAAAAAACAATGGGGTACTGGGGTGAATAAGAGAGATATTTCAACCCGCCGTACCCATTTGATCCCATGCTTTCTCGAGGTTCGTCACGCGAAATAGAGGATTTTCCGCATTTATTTTCTCGATTTCTAGTTTCGGTTGCGGGTTTGAAATTTCGTCGGATGGATGAATACATATTTCTCCAATGATGGAGGGAAAAAAAAATTTTTTTTGAATCTTTTTTCAAATTCACTTGGCACCCTTAAATCAGAAATTTGATCAAGAATTGTTTTCATAGCATTTTCTAAAACCATTCAATTTTCATAATATTCTAATCCAATTCATCATCTAATCCGATTCATCAAATGCTAAGCAGATTGAGGCGAATAATTGGATGAATCTGCATTCGTTCCATGTAAATTCGTCCCTCCAATTCCGTAAAAAGTCGTTGATATCACGTTTCCGGTTCTCTCAAATGATATCCTCAGCGTTTTAAGAGCTTTCCAAGCGTCAGGAGGACGCTTGAAAATGGCTTCACAGAGTAAATAATCATCTCATCACGGCTGCTTATTTATAAGCCCCATTCTCTTTGTCTGGAAAAGTCTCTTTATCTCGTGGAAGACAAAGGAGATCTCCTACGTCAGAATTTTTCTTTATTTATATCCATTCCTAATGGAATATAAATGACGTTCATTTGCCTCTTCCACTTTCTTGTATGAATTGCCCACACTAAACATTAATAACAATATTCTAAATATATACAGGGTGTCCCAAAACGCTTGAGGTATTTATGGCGTGGTCAGGGGAGGTCGAAAAAAAGAGATCCGATCAATTAGCCCCTCATGTATAGATATTCCAAATTTTTATTTTTTTCCTCATTGAAGTAGTTTTGAAGAATATTGCGAGCTAATAAAATACATTTGCAAGTCAGTACTTTTTTTAAAATAAATTTTTGAAAAATCACCTCTGAAAAAAAGGCGTTATCCCCTCTATTTCATTATTTCCAAAAAATTTTATCACCAATCGATAGTAAATTGTTTGAAGATTTTTGCGAGTTAAGAAAAAGTCGTCAATGCAATCCTATTATTGTGTAAATTAACAATTCCAATTTCAACTGAAAACCAGAGTTGATGACCAGAGTTTGTAACAGAGATGTCAGACAAGATATGAATGTTTTTTTGGGCTCAAACGAAAGGGCTGGTCGAGAAATGGCGTGCTAGGACCTCGAAAGATGGTGTTGAAGCAGGGGAGACTCCTAGACCCCAATGTTCTATACATACTCCTAGACCCCATTGTCCTCCTAGACAATGATGTCACAACTCTGCTTTTCAATTGAAAACAGATATCATCTTTAGAGACATTTGTCATGTTTAGAGGCTCTAGCACGTCATTTCTCGACCCGCTCTTTCATTTGAGCCCAAAAAAACATTCATATCTTGTCTGACATCTCTGCTACAAACTCTGGTCATCAACTCTGGTTTTCAGTTGAAATTGGAATTGTTAATTTACCCAATAATAGGAGTGCATTGACGATTTTTTCTTAACTCGCAAAAATCTTTAAACAATTTGCTACCGATTGGTGATAAAATTTTTTGGAAATAATGAAATAGGGGGGATAACGCCTTTTTTTCAGGGGTGATTTTTCAAAAATTTGTTTTAAAAAAAGTACTAACTAGCAAATGTTTTTTATTAGCTCGCAATTTTCTTCAAAACTACTTCAATGAGGAAAAAAATAAAAATTTGGAATATCTATACATGAGGGGCTAATTGATCGGATCTGAAAAAAAGTCAAGAAATTGATGATTTTTTAAATACATTTTTTGATTTTTTCAAAACTCCCATGCAAAATCCCAGATAGCCTAGGAGAATGGGTGAAACAGGAATTTTTCTAAAAAAGGCATTTTAACACGGGCTCTTATGGGAATTCGGAAAAAAAATATTGAAAATAGAAAAAAATCGCCATTTTCCTGAAATTTCGCATTTGGGTAGAGCTTTCATGGAGGAACATAAAAAAATAATCCAAGTGGCCTAGGAGAATTGTTTAGAAGGGATAATTAAAAAACTTATGAAAAATAGTCATGTGACGTACAAATTTTCCAACTACAAATGATTGTCACAAATCATTTGTAACCAAATTGTTGTCAAACCATCTATATAGTTGCATAATGACGGTCATAACTAATTTCCAATTTGTGACGGTCATGAATAAAACAAAATAGTTTCATCTATATGGATGGAAAAAAAACGTGATTTCCATTTCAAAATGCGGATTAGGCCAATACAAAAGGAATTCAACTGAAAATTGACCGAGAAAAAAATTAAGTTTTCATTTTTTCTTGACACGTCGCGACGGTCACAGGAGGGGGAGGGGGAATTGTGACAGCCGTCATAAACGCCACATGACCGTCATATGACGCATTTGCATCTCTAAACATAACAGCTGAGTGAATCAGTGCTGCCAACTTCTACCTCGAACTGCACGACGTCACTTTTTCTATCCATATTAATTATTTTCCAATTATCCAAAAGACAAGCTAGAAAAATAAGGCTTGAAATATGTGAGAAAAAAGCGAGAAGTTATTAAAAAAATATTTCGAACACAAAAATGGTCGAAATAGATGGAAAATTTGTAATTGAAAAATCGTTTTTTTTGTCCAGCGATTGGTTTTCTGCGAGAGAACAATAGACTCCCCTCCGTCTCACCTCCTACATGCCCACCCCGGCATAAATACCTTAAAACAATTACGGACTCAACTCGCCAGTTATTTTCCCCTAAACCCAATAGTTCCAGAAATCCTGCAAAAATGTCTCTTTCATCGCTTCACCGTAGAATCAAGAGACTAATTAAACGCGGGGAATTGATTATATCAGAATCGTGATTACAACTGAGATTATTTTATCACCTACGATAATGTTCAAGCACTTGTCTAGGAAGACAATCAACAAAGTCCAAACGACTGACTGATAAACAAACAAGAAGAAACTCCAAAATAAATTTACCGAGATGACTGTGTCTCTTGCTTGTTAGTTGCTACTATGAAACAGCGATAATAACTACTCAAACAAAACTATCACTTCAGAAATTACATCATCCAACGGTGTAAGTTTCCGTGGTGTGATCGAGGGAGATTTCATGTGGCAATCAATTTCGTAAGCAACTGATGTAGAGTAGGAGATGGTGCCATCGAAACTTTACTGTGTATTATTTCGTAAATATCTTCGGAACTATTGGGTTTATTGAAAAACGTCTGAGAACATTTTTTGTAGCCGAGGAATTTCCGAACGAAAAAGGTTTTTTGACATTTTCTGCTAAAACCAATCCTTATCGAGATAATAGCGCAATTAATCGGAAGAATATCGCCCCCTAGATAGTCGCAGAATAATCAGTAAATGTTTGGTTCTTTCAATTTATCGAAGAACTATTACAGCTGATAACATTAATCGTCACCAGACGATGTCACAGGGAGTGATAACGATCGTATAAACATACTCTCGATAAATGCCATATCAAAATAAAAATATTCCTACCTGCAAGTAGAAAAAGACAAAACGTGTGTTGAGTTTTTTTAATGAGAGGAAAAACTATTGAGCTTTCCGCGTGTCTTGTCAATTTAAATAATTATTCAATTATCTCGATGATGAGTTGAGGAATATTTTTGGTGGAGCATAAAATTCTCTATAGAAGGTGAATCTTTAGTTTTTTGATGGAAATATTTCTGTCTGCAAAAACGATCCTCTCAGAATTTTTTGTACATCCATTCATTCTTTCTTTCTTAACCCGAAATTCGTCACCCTACGAGAGAAGCCCCGCCGCGCGTCGTTTTTCTTTAATTACAATTGTCTGACTAACCGAAAAAATTGAAAAAAAAAATTGACTTGGTCAATTGAAGTGTCTAAAAAATTATAGTTGTTTTTAGAACAAGATATTACCAAAAATTCCTAAAGAAAACAAATCATTTCGAACAAATGAATTATTTTTTCCCGTGTTAATAGTATCTTATGTCATAATGCTTCTATCGCCGTGTGACATACGATATTTTATGTCGTTGGGCCCGAAAACCGCGATCTAACCGAGCGAAGCGAGGCCTCAGATCGCGGCCTAGTTCGCGGTTTATCGGGCCTAATGACATGAATGAATTTGCCCATAACGCGACGTTGCCAGAAACTCGCTAGACGCGCCCGGGCAGTGGAGAGTGAATTCGGCAACGTTAAAGACTAAATAAAGCGCGGTGAGCCCCGCGCAGGTGACCAAATTGCAGGGACGCGTTTGATGACCAGACTGTATTCCTAAATTCTCCAGAATCCATACCCATACTAACTGCGGGCGTGAACAGACATGAAAAATTCTGATTTAGGGGTCAAATGAAAGATCATAACATCTCACATGTCGGTAATTATGTCTCAGAGAGGAATAATGATGATCAGTATCTAATAATGAGGACATACCGCACCTCCCTTTTCCTGTTCCAAATCACCGTATGACGAGCAAATCTCCCAATATGGCGGCTGGATCCCACTCTCGAAATAAACACTAATTATAATTCCGACGTAAACAGCACCCACACGAGACTTAATTTCCGGAATGTGGAAGATTACGGCCTTTCGGCTGACCACAAGATCGTGATTATTTTATACCCGTTTACGGGTATAATGGACATGGATTCTGAGGACTTCTGAGGAATTTAGGGATAAAAATTTTAAAAAATACGGTGAGGACAGGTCTTAACCCTTGATCACTCGCGCTCGGCCGCCAGCCTTCATCCGTCGCACGGTTAACGCAGCGCCGCTGGGTTAAACCGAGCACGCTGTTGCCACCTTGGCGCTTACCGCTATGCGCTCATTTCCAGTGTGGCAGCAAATATAGCAACACTGCCGCTCGAGGGATCGACAGGGACTCACACGCACCGGGCGACGCCGCGCCGCTTTTCCGTCCGTTCGACATTGATTTTCGTTTTTTACCTAAACAAATTTCCCGAGAAAAAGACGAACGACGCCAACGCTTAATAAAAAGATTGAACTAGGAACTCTGATTTTTTCAGAATTTTTAAGCGTCGAGGAAAACCCTAAAATATAAAAAAAAGAAAACGTGCGGCACCACGCTCATTGGACGAGTGATCAAGGGTTAATTGGTTTCACAAAAATGAAAAGTATACTAGAAGAATGTGTGAATGAAAAAGATATTGCAATTAGTGCGGAGGAATTCCGATGAAGCGCTTTCTCCCGAGCCATTCGTAGAATAATCAGTGAATTTTTGGTTCTTTCAATTTATCGAAGAACTATTACAGCTGATAACATAAATCGTCACCAGACGATTTCCCAGAGAGTGATAATGATCGTACAAACATACTCTCGATAAATGTCACATCAAAATAAAAATATTCCTATCTGCAAGTCCAAAACGACACAAAACGCGTGATGAATTTTTTAACCAGAGGAAAAAAAATATTGACTTTTTTTTATCGAGAAAATAATTATCTCAAGGCTGAACAGAGTAACACGATGACGTTGAGTCGATTGAGTATCGATTTCGAGTAATGAATTCGCTCTTGACACATGTACTCATATATTCTTGTTTAATTGACTGGCACATGTTGAATACGTGGACTAAATCAATGGAGGAGTGATAATCAATTATTTCATTGGACTCAATTATTTCCCCCATCGTTTCTTATTTTTCTGTCGTTGCATTTGCGTCAGCAATGACGCGAAACAATGTAAAGAGATTCAGAGATAAAGATTGAATTCTTCGGGACGACTGGGGGGCTGCAGCCCCTGCTCAACAAGCCATTTCACGAATGAGATATCGCTGTGTCGCCAGATATTTAAAATAAGAATTCATTATTATAGACTAAATATTAGAGACACCAAGTCTTTTGGGAAATATGGCGTTGTGGAGAGAATGTTGTTTTTAGGGTATGCCCGAGTGAAGTCTGAAATGAAAAGTATTTACGTTGTGTGGCAGTTTTATTACGATCGTGTTTGGTTTGTAACGGTTCTTGGGTGAATGAATGACGGTAGCCTGTGTGACGAACACTGAGGCCATTTTTTGGAACAAAGGGTGTATTGGTTGAGAATGAGTGCGAGTGAGAAAGTTTTTTTGGAATTGAGAAGAAAAAGTGTTTGCCCGAATGAGAGAACAAAGAGTGAGTCAGTCCTTGCGATCGGATAGATGTCGCGTGAAGATGTAGACTAACTCAACTCCCATAACAATGATTTTTTTGAAATTCGATGTTAACTCAAATATACGTTCATTTATTCCATTAAATAAATATCCTGTGTCCTCATGATTGTGGTCCTACATTTATAAATGGGCCCGGTGGCTTGGCACAGTGGGTAAGTTCGTTGCATCACATGCAAAAGGTTCCGAGTTCAAATCCCGGCCGGGTAGAATGGTGCGATCTAACCATTTAAAGTCTTTGATCATCATCACAATATCCTATTTTACTAAAGATGAGAGAAACTTGAAGTTGTTTTATACCGAAATATCTCGAAACTGCCTGACCGCTAATCTTTAATTCTGATTGGTCAATATGTGACACGAAGCTATTCACAAAAAAAACACGCGGCATTTTCAAATTCTTCAGTGGTAAATTTTTTTTTTCACATCATATGTATATATATAATGTATATATTTCACATGTGTATATATATATATATCATCGGTGAAATTAATAAATTCTGTCCTTTTATGGAGACCGATTATTAAAAAAAATTGGAGATAATTAATTGAAAATGAAAAATTCTTTATAGATTCTTTTACTCTACTTGGCTGTTCACTTCAATCATTAGTCGAATTCTCTTTGATTCATTGTCAATATTTATAAGGTATTCATGAGAAAATGAAATTCAATGAATTCCATTTCTTCATTTCAACAAATGAATAGATCAGCGCGCGCGAGAGCGCGCGCATAGATCTTGTACCCTAAATGTGTCGAAGCGATGTAAAATAACGATAAAAAAAAAATTATAAATGGAAATTGGTCATTCAATTTTTTTGCTAATTGATTTTTGCCCGAAATAGTATCTTATGGCATCAGGCGCCTTCGGCTCGGATTATAAACCCACATTCGTCAGATAATACTTTTATCGCCGTGTGACATACGATATTTTAGGTCGTTGGGCCCGAAAACCGCGATCTAACCGAGCGAAGCGAGGTTAAAATCGCGGTATATCGGGCCCAATGACATAAAAAAATATCTCGGTAATTATTGCTGTGAAATAATACTAAAAAATACCTCTTCATAACTGAAAAAAATTCCAATGAAAAAAGGCTCGATGCTTTTTCCTAGGACGGGATATTCAAATAGTAAATGAAGTAGATTATCATTTTTTCGTATTTACCTTTGAACTTTGGAACGAACATTTGTATATCCTGAGGAATGTTTAGGTAAAAATCGAGTTCCCGACGATTTAAAGGTTTACAAATAGTGCTTTGATTGAGCAGCAACAGTCTCGTGTGTCCTCCAACCTGAAACACAAATTGCATCATCAATTTCAATAACAAAATCGATGAAAAAGTGAGTAAAACGAAGAACTCGCTCTATCATAAATAAAAATGAATGGAAAATTCCAGCGATTCTATCTTCATTCCATCTTCATTTCCTAGAACATAATGAATGTTTTAACGTAGTACAATTCATCATCTCGTTGCAAAGTTTCCGCAGGATACTGACGACCACCGAGATCATGAAAATTCCGCAATATTCATTACGATTTATGAATAAAATGGAAAATAAATAAATCAGCGTAAATAAGAAAACCGATCATTAAAAATAAACCTTGAGTTCTTTTCAAAGAATTTCTCAATGACATTAAGAGATCAAAAGAAGACTACTTCATCCTTCACCTCTTTCACGTGTAACAATTCATTTCCTTCGGTATTTGACTCCATAAAATCACCAGCGTACGATAAAAGGAAGTTTATAGTCCTTTGTAAAATCGTCACAACCGCAAAGCAATATAATAAATAAAAAAAGTCTTTATTGGTTTAGAGTTAAAACTTTCAACGCATTTCCCAATGTTTCAAAGCCCAATAAAACAATTTTTTGTTTCATTTTACGGTTGAAAAACCACTGAATCATGACAAACCCAAGATCATCGTTTTTATGCAGCTCCAATGAAACAATCGAATGTTTCCGATTCTGCAAATCAGGGAAACGATTCAAGTCAACTCGACTATTGATCGGTTTTCAATTAATATCTCGGAATCTAAGGCAGATAGCAAAATTTTTATCATGAACTTTTTTGTAGCACTCAACTCACTCTACACAAAAGGTTATTACGAATGTTTCGTTATCTCTGTTAGATTCGGAGATATTCCTCAAAAACCCAGCTAAGGGCTAATTCTCGATAAAGGCTAGTTCTAAATGATTATCTCGGAATCTAAGGCAGATAGCAAAATTTTTGTCATGACCTTTTTTGTAGAGCGGATTGAGTTCTACAAAAAAGGTCATTACAAGAATTGTGCTATCTCCCTTAGATTCGGAGATATTTCTTGAAAACTCAGCTAAAAGCTAAATCGACTTGAATATTTTACCACTTCACTATCGAAATTGTTAAAGTAAGAATTCTAGAGCAGCCTTAAACTTGCCAGGAGTGAAGGTCACTGGATGTTTTATCCGCTGGCACTGCGGGAGAATAAAAATTACTCGTGATATTTAAACGCACAAATGCCAAGGATACAACGCACATCGTTTAATAATTCTATCATCGAACTGTAACTTTGTTTACGCCTGGCTCCTTGAGCTAGTGGAGTCTCTGCCCTGTCTACGTTGTTGAAAGGTGCTCTGGACCAAGTGTAAAAGATACTTGGACATTCTTAAGGGGTCTCCGCAGTACTTTTGGGTAAAATATGACAATGTGCTTGCGAATTAAATATATCATATAGTAATCGAAAATGTTAACAAGGTATTTGTAAAAGCAATTCTAACTACTTTTATGGTTTCGTTCGTGTTTAATTAATTATTCAAATTGCGCCTTATACACAACCTTTATGGACGCTACTTTGTTCCCTACCCCTCACACTGTTGACAATGTGCTAGCCAGCAAAGGAAGCTAAATTGTTCTATATTAAGCCCTAAACAATATGGGCGCGAAGTCCCATTGGGTTTTATCGTTGATTTGTTCAATAAATTAATGATAAAAATACTTTGGCGATGTCTGTCATTATCCAACATACGCCATGTTTGATGTCCCGTCTCTCTCGAAACTAACCTCACTAACTTGACTATTTCACACTCCACTCACCCGCGCGCCCATCGCAACTGCGGAGACCGGAACGGAATCTCTGCGTTTATATGAATCTTTAGAATTGAGTTTTCTCCTGCAATTATTATTTTTTATTCATTAAACTACTTCATTGACTCAACAATGCGATAATCGAGTCGATAAAGTAATTTCATAGATAGAAATTAATAATTGTAGGAGAAAACACAATTCTAAGATTTGATGTAGACAAAGGGGTTCCGTCTCCCCTTAAGGTGTTTCGTGTGCAGATCACCGGGGGGTGAAACGAAAGGGAAGTCTTATTGTTCCCTGATTCAGTCACTGAGCACGAAATTTTCCAATTTTCAAGTAACTATTCAAGTGTGCATTTGAATATTGATTTTATTTATCAGATTGATTGATTTTATTCTCATCACCTACGAATTTCGAATGAAATTGGAGAAAATTGTGCATTTTTTGGATGAAAAATAGAGGAAAATTGTTCGTTTTAGAGAAAATTTGCTGACAATCTGTAATTTTCTGGGAAATGGGAGAAAATTGTCCATTTTGCAAAAACAATTGAAGAAAATTGTCCAGTTTAACAGAGAATGAAAAGAATTTGTCCGGTGTTATAGAAAATGCAAGAAAAGTTATCGATTTTTGAGTAAATCCGAGAAAATTGTCCATTTTTTTTATTGGATGTTTTTCTAATTATTGAAATAATATTAAAATGCGTCTCGAGTTGGTAAACCTGATGAGTGTTTTCTCTCTCTCAGTTCCATGGTCCAACCCATGCCTTTCCCATGATGCTCACTGACATTCGAATCACGCGCCTGCGCGTGAGGGCGTAATTGCCCCGAAACTCATAATTTTCCGAATCATTTGTTCAAATAACTTTCTTATGAAATCGGAAAAAAATCTGAAACTTATACGTGTTCTCAAGAAAGATTTGATTTATCACCCACTAGTTTTTCCGCAATAGTTTATTACTTTTTTGGGTGCCATGGCAATTTGCCTAATTGAGAGTGGGGTAACCTCGGAGGTTATAGCTGGAGGGGTTACAAAAACATCCAAATTTCATTATTTTTTTTCTTGAGACTGAGATGTGAAAAAAACGCGCAAAAATTCTCAATGATTCTGGGTACTCAGACATTTCTCCCACGAATTTTCCTTTTTTTTTTCATTATTTTCAATTTTTACACGAGACACCTTAAATTTGCGCGATGGCAAAGCTTCCATTCTTTAGCAAAACGAACAAGTTATCGAACAAGTCTTGCTTGGGCTAAAAAAATTCACCCATCCACCGCTAACTAAAAATATTTCTTGAATGAAATATTTTCTGATTTCTTTTCAAAAAACAAAAAAAATCAACAAAAATCGACAAAATAATTCCCAACGCTGGAAGTAAACCGAAACTCTCACGAAACTTTTGTCCCGCCGTTTCAGTCGGGCTTTATGGTAATTGGAGGGGATTGGAGGACACGGGAGAATTATTCGGATTATTTTCAGTGGCGTGCACTGGGGTCTCTGGGCATTCGGGACGGTGACCCACATCTTTGATTTAATTTTGTTTTGTGGACGAGTGAATGAGAATAAAAAGATTGGAAAAACTCATCTTATTCTCGATGGCGAGGATTTTTTCAGAGGACAGAAGCGATTTTTCCCTTCATTTTCTTTCGGATTTTCATTACTCGAGATTTTAAATGCGCTCGACTGACAATGAGCGCATGAGGATCTTTTAACGTTTGAACTTGGAGATGATGGAGGGAATGACCCTATTCCTATTTACTAAAGATGAATTCACTAAAGATGAAAGAAACGTGAAGTTATTTTATATCGAAATATCTCGAAATTGCCTGACCGCTAATCCTTAATTCTGATTGGTCAATATATGACACGAAGTTATTCACAAAAAAAACACGTGGCATTTTCAAATTCTTCAGTGACATAATTTCAAATTCTTCAGTGGTAAATTTTTTTTTCACGTCATCTATATATAATATATATATTTCACATGTATATATATCATCGGTGAAATTAATAAATTCTGTCCGTTTATGGAGACCGATTATTTAAAAAAATTGAAGATAATTAATTGAAAATGACAAATTCTTTATAGATTCTTTTACTCTACTTCGCTATTCACTTCAATCATTAGTCGAATTTTCTTTGATTCATTATCAATATTTATAAGGTATTCATGAGAAAATGAAATTCAATGAATTCCATTTCTTCAGTTCAACAAATGAATAGATCAGCGCGCGCGCATAGATTTTGAGAACTGAAAGTGACACAGAATGATCCATTACTTTTGCTCTAGCCGCAAAAAATTGATATTTTAGACTCGTACCTCGTGAAGATGCATGAGTTTGCTATTCAAATGGCATTGAGAAAAACCAATGGCACTTCTTATCTATTTGCCATTGAATTCCCGCGGTGAGGAACGAATAAAAATCCATACAATTTTTTTCTCAATTTGATAAAAGCAGAAATAAAAAACGTTAATGAAATGAAATTAATGAAATCTATGATTGTTTTGTCTAAGTTTTATCGGGGAGATGAATTAGAAGGAAATTTCCACTCAATTAAAAGCCACAATGGACGGATTTCTGAGAAATTCCTTCGAAGTTTTTTCAAAGTTAATTTTTTTTTCGACTGCATCAACTGCTCAAATAAAATGCCTGGGACAATAATAATAACTTTACGTGAATTTTGTCCATAAATTACTGAATCACAATTTCGAACTTTTTTCGTGTTCTTTCTTCCAGGAAAAAATTGGCAAACGGCCTTAACTGAAATTAATGTAACATTTTATCATTTGATAATGAACTCAAAGCAACAGTTGATCAATAAAAAAATTCATAGATTTCTTTTCTGAATTAAAAAAATTGAAAGAACATGAGGAAAATTGACGTGTTTTTGCTTCTCCCTTTCTTTCAGAGAAAAGAATTCGAAAAAATTGATTCCAAAACAATGGATCAATAAAAATTCATATAATTTTTTTTTAATAACAAAAATGCAAAGAATACGAGAAAAATTTAAGTTTTTTCAACTGCATCAACGACTCAAACGAACTGCATGTGATTTATCATAATTTCATGTAAATTTGAATTCTCAACTACCAAATCAGAATGTATGATTCATTATTTTATATTTCTCCAGAATAAAATAGTCCCATTGAATTACTTCGAATAGAATTGAATAAGATTTCTTAAATTTTAGATGAATTTTAGATTTCAATAAATTTTAGAATAAGATTTAATA